AATAGAAACAAATTTTTAAAAAAGAAAAAAAAGAAACTAGCTGGGCATTTCAATATATACGAGTCTTCAGGTCCTCATAAATTATATAACTTGGATTAACAAATGTAATTGTCACATCTACTGATAAAAGTGACATTTAAGAAATCACAGGTACAGAAAAGTGCCATATGCTCAGAGCGATGGGTAAATGTTATTCCTATTTTTAGAAACAGGAAAAAGGGTTTTCTCCTAGTCTATAACTGGGTATATTCAGAGATTAAAACACTGATATGAATAGGTATTTAAATGGCTGGTTTTGGTCAGATACCATGCCAGGACCTTTTCTGTACAGTAACTCATTTAGTATAGAATTTTTTTAAAAAAGGTTATTATTCATTCACATACTCTGCTTATACAAAGAACAAACCACACCAAACTGAACATTGCTGTTTTGCAAGGGAAATGTGGTAGGTAGACAAAAAACTTTCTGAGCTATTTTGGTATCTACCTAAGAACAAACTGGAGACCTGGAGCCTGGGTGATAGTACAGAGCACTGGAGAGGACAAAGTTTGTCTTGTTCCCTGTGGTATCCCCAGTTACAACAGTGCCAGGGGCCAGTAAGCACTCATCATTCACTGAATATGAGATAACTTAAAGCTGACTTGGCATCGGTGAATACCCAAAGAACATTTGAGTGTTCTACACCAATCTATTATGATCCAATGTCTATAGGGAGGCTTTGAGTTTGACCTTAACCTAGTCCAAATCAGCGTTTGGACCAATTTTTCTTTCTTTTTTTTGGGAGTGGGGGGGGGCAGGATCTTGCCATGAAGGCCAAGCTGGCCTCAAACTCACCACCCTCATGTTTCAGCCTTCTGAGTCCTGGGATTGTCAGCCTGCACTAGCATACCTGGGACTGAAAGCTGTAACTTGGATAAAGACAACTTATCACATTCAAATATAATCCTACAGAAAGCTATTTTTTTTCATGGTGTAATGAAGGATTTTACTGGCAAGGCAGACAGAGACCCAAACTTAACAAACCATCTAGTTTTTGTTACTTTTTTAAAAACTAGAGTACCAATACCACCACAAATTATAAAAAATATTTTTAAAAAAGGAAAAGAGAATTTAAAAGAAGAAAAAATTCATTTATATATAAGCCTTCTGATCTTTACGAAGATCAGAAAGGAATATATATTAGTTCTGAGGTATTTTATAATATGGGCTGGGTATTAAAAAACAGCATACACATATGATTCAGTAATGACTCATGTTTTTCCTAGTGATAATCTGATAAAAAGTAATTGCCATTTAGAACAGCTGCACATCATTCATAAAATATCCAAGATAAAGATGGCACCGCAGAAAATAATCAGTTAAATGCAATATGCTTATAGGGCTTCAGAGCTGAATGGGATTAAAGGTATGTTAAGAAAATGTTTTAGATGGGCCTAGCTAATTGTTACTATTCTTGACTTATTTCTACATGAAAAATAACTAGCTTAACTCTTGAGATTTCAGACTTCACTAATTCAATTTTAATGAGACTTAACAATTTTATAACATGAGCATAGCCAATGTGACAGTATATATACATACACACACACACACACACACACACACACACACATAGACACACACACACACACATGCTCTAATAATTCAAACCAAAGTCTGCTATAGGTAAAAAAAAAAATCACTCAAAAATTAGTTGAAGAGAAATTACATTTAACACTAGAGTACCATACTGGAGAAAATACTCTATGACTTCAGTGACATCTTGCTTTTATACAGCAGAAGTCGAATACCTTTATACGCTTCAAAATACTGCTGACAGTTTGTTTCTAGTACTGTATTAAAGACACCCTTGTTCTGAAGGGGCTTCCTTGTTACTGTGGGAAACACTAAGGCAGGAGCATTAGAATTATATAGGCTGTTGACTGCAGTGCTGCTGGCTTCTCAAACAATTTTCCAGTATATGGAGCTATAGTTATACATCCAAGAAGTCACTCCAGTCCGTCAGTTACTAAGCTGATTTTCAATGTGCTGGATTCATTTTCATGAAGCCCTTCTTCCTTGAATTCCCGAGGGTTAACTGGGCCCCAGGCTCTGGGCACCTGACTGGAATCCAGATCTCTCTTCACAGGTGGAGGGTCCTGCTGTTCTATTTTTTCCCCAGAGATTTTTCTTCCTCTAAGGATGATATGTCCCAGTCATCATCATCCACATCTGCACACTTTAGTTCTTCTTGCAATCCATCCTTTTTGATCAATGTTTCAGCAACATCAATCCTCCCAACTAGTTTATTCCCATTTCCTAAAGGTAAAACCATGTTTTCAGCATTTTCAGTTTGTATCTGAACGGAAGTTCCTGTGGGCTTTGGAGAAACTTCGGAGTCCTCCATTTTACTTCCCTCCATCCAGTCTGTGTCACTCTTGACAGAGCACTTTCCAAAGTTACTGGTGTTGTTTGTAGGTGGCTGTGTCGTAACTAAGTCTGGGGATATATATGATTGGATGAAGTCCTCTTCACCCAGCTCCTCCTCTGAGCTGAAGGGAGGCTTTTTAGTAGATGAAAACTTTCTGGGAAGATGATCTTCTGTGGTATTTTTCTCAACTTTTGGGATAGACACCTTATCAGTAAAAACAGGTCTTTGTCTAACCAAGTGTTTGCTTTTGGGGGGAATCTGGGCCACTCTGGATACTTCTTCAGCTGGCAAGGTGTCCACTGGAGGAATACTGTGCCACAGTGTGAGACCTTGTGTCATAAAACCAAAACCAACAACAAAAGAACAAATGCCCAACAACAGGAACAGATAAATAGTAAAAGTAGTTCATCTACAGGAACCCCAAAGTTTGAACTTATTGCTCAGTGATGTCAAGAAAACCAAAGTATTCTAGGCTGCAAGAAGAGTAAGACTGCCCAAGCAAGGTAGGGAAAGTGCTGACATCACACTTCACTAATGATAGCTTTGTGGAAGGTACTGAGCTCTAGGAAACACATTCTAAAAGGATCCATACCTTTAAACCGTATGTGTTGGGGGAAGGTAGGATCTAGACAAAGAAGCTCTGGAAACAAAATAAGAGTAACTGAAGGAACCTAGGGTATTTAAACTAAGGGGGAGGAAGAGATTTTGGTGGGCAGGGGTACAGCATACTTGTGAAACAGCACGATGTCTAAATGAAGAGGGATGACAAGGGGCTCCTTGTGAATGGAGTCTAATCAGCTGGTGTGAGTGGCAGAACTGGTGCTGAGAAAAGTGCAGTCGGCAGTAAACGGATGTCATCAATTATTCATGTCTGCTATGGTTTCGGAGTGCAATGCCTATGTGAAGCCAAGTAGTTGCTAACTCTGGACTTGACAGACTTAGTCTAAACTTCCACAGACTGACTCCAAGACTGTTCACTGGAAGTTACCAGGAAGCCAAAATAAGGAGTGGTACCGGAGAGTGAAAGATGAGCTCAACGAACTTAGAAATCCTTTCCAATTTAAACATTTTAGTTGCAGGCCAATACAAGATAAAACTGAGGGTGGCCTCAGTTCCAAAGGCACCCATTTTAATAGCCAATCTCCTTACAGCCTCTAAGGCACCTCTAGAAACTGTCCTGTGCTCCTGACTGTCGGTCCCCACCCCTCGGGAAGGGGAAAGGCCACACTGAGGACCGGGGAAAGCCCCTCTTCTCCCCGCTCCGCCCCGCCCCCTGCGGCAACCACAGGGCCGCAGGACGTGCGCCCGCCCTGGCCGGGCGAGCGCGGCGAGACCCACGATAAGCCGCCCTGGTTCCGCCGAGGGCCGGGACGGCGGAGGGCGCACCCATGGGCGGGTGGGGGGCGAGGAAGCAGAGACGCGTGCGGTCCGCCGTCTGCGTCGGGGAGACAGAGGCCGACCTCCCGCCCCGGAAGGAAAGAAAGTAGTATCAACACTCCCAGATGACACGCCCCCCTCCAATGTTCCCCTCGTCTTTTCTCAGTCCTCTTGTTCAGCTTTGGTAAAGTGGACTGCTCTACTTATTACCCGCCCCCCAAACTAATTTTGATTTGGTGGGCATCCCTTATCCATCCTTCACAGTGCAACTAAGTCACTCTTTCACGGTTATCCAACAAAACCTTCCAGGCTGTTCAACTCCTAAAATTCTGTTACTTCTTTTATTTATTTTTTTTCTTTTGAAACAGCGTCTCACTGTGTAGCCCCGGCTGGTGTGGAAATCACTGTTTACCAGGTTGGCCTCAAACTCACAAAGATCCACCTAATTCTGCCTCCCAAGTGCTGGGACTAAAGGCTGGTGTAGCTATACCCGGCCAAGCCTGTTACTCTTGCTATCTCTTAGCATTTTTCTTTTATGCCCACGCATCAGCACTCTTTGTACTGTTCAGTGTGTGCACAAAGTTCTGACACAGAGCCATTTGTGTCCTCAGAGAACAGGCTAAACTCTCCACTGCCCCCAGCAGGCGCTTGGTATTAGTTCTCTTCCTTTTCCCTATGATGCCCATCTTTTTCTTCATGGTCCTTTGGGCACCAGCATCGTTATCTTTCTCACAGCAAACGATGCAGTGCACATAGAGGGGGGCCGGTATCTCTATAAACTCAACTCTGTAGTTCTCTACCATGTGCTATTTTTGCCTCCCTTAGAGCATATGCCAGGGTCCAGAGTCATTTTTGACTTTCATACGTTCGGGGCGGGGGCGCCTGCGCATGTGTTACTACAGCCATTTAAATTGAACAGACCGAGGATGCTGTTAACCTCCGGCGATACCCAGGACTGCCTCCTACGACAAAGAACTCTCAGGCTGCCCACATTGGGTTAACAGAGCTACCTGAGAGCACCCAGCCTCCTAAAGCGCGGAGGTCGTCTCCACTAGGAAACCCAGAGTGGGTCCGCCAGGTGAACTGTGATTAAGTCCAGCGCTGCAGAGGCTGGCCTGGTGTCCCAGGACAGGGCCCGGTAAAGGCACAAGGCCAACCTGAGACCTCCCCCCGTGGACCAAAGCGCCGGTTCCAACTCTCTCCATCTCCTACCTGGAGGGGTAAGCCCACAGAGGAAACGCCTAGTCAGTTGGCCTCCCAGATCCACGTTCCTTAACTTCAGGCAGAGGCCCCGAAGCGGTTCCCTCGAGATCTGCGGCTACGTCCTCGCGAGGTGTAGACGAAGCTTCCGGGCTGGCGCCGTGCGCCGGCCCGTGGCGGTTCCGTTTGGCCTGCTTCCGCGAGGGGTGGAGTCGGCTGTGGAGCGCCGAAAACTGTGTGTACCGAGTGACTCCCTCTGGTCTCCATCTTCTAATATAGGTCTTCCTACTCCCTTTCAGAGCCCCTCCTGGATCTCGGCCGGCTCACCGTTTTGGACTGCAGAGGAAGGAAGTGCCGATACTTACAGGAGTCCCAGGAGACAGGCAGGATTCCGAAGCCAGGGTTACCCTCTCAATTTGTAGCCGGGGCTGGGTCGCTGCAGGTCGGGCTCCGGAGGAAGCCAATAGAGGATAAGGGCTCAAGTAGCTCTACCTGCCACTTCCCAGGGATAGACAGAGAGGCGGTCTGTTGTTTCTCACCCTTAGGGCTTGCTGGGAAGCCCACCGGGATGTTAATGTGAAATTCACGCCCCCTCTGCCCTGCCACCTATAACTTGTCGTCATTTTCTCTTCCAGTCTGCCATGTCCCCCAATTGTGAGGTGTTGACGTTTAAGGATCGGGGTATACTGGACACGCTTAAGGTATCCGATTTAGACATGACTGTGTTGAACTTTCACTGTCACCTGTAACAGGTAGTCCTCATATGAATTTGTCCAGAGTTTGGCTTTTTAAAGTAGTAAACTATATACATTGTATTGTGAGTTACATTGTAATAATGGAAAATGTTTCAGTCATCTTAAAAGAGCCTATTGATTTGTTGGACTGACATTAAGGTAGCACATAACATGTATGTAGCGAGCACATTGTAATAAGACTAAACCTGTTTTACAATCTAGATTTGACAGATTATGCATATGCAATAGAAGTAAGACTGTCGTAGGGAAAGGGGCAAAGGAGGGTAATGGGGAGGTGACTGAGCAAAGTACGGTGATATACATGTATAGTATAAACATCATAGTGAACTCATCCATAAGCCCAATAAATCAGGTTAACAGTTTCCAGAGCTAAGAGGTGGTTTTGTACTGTGTTTGGATGGCACTACATAGAAAATATTAAGTGTACTGCTTACTGTGGAATAGTTTGAGACATGAATTTTTTTCTTTAAAATACGTTGGAACATAGGAATATTTAATATGAGCAGCAAATATGTATTACTATACTTTAAATTTGGACTAACAGCAAGGAATACGGTTAGCTCAGTGTTTCATTACAATGTCTTTCAAAAGTATATTTTATATTAATTTTTGTGTGTGTGAATGAGTATTTTGCCCAAATATATATGAGTGTACCACATGGGTTTAATAGGCCTCTGATCCCAGGGGACTGGAGTTACTGACTGTTGTTAGCCACCATGTTGGGTGCTCCTAAGTGTGAAGCCATCTCTCCAGCCCCTATTCTACCTTTTAAAGTGAAAATTAAGGAAAGGCAAGACTGATTTTTCCCAGTCATTATTTTAATTTTTATTCTATGTGTATGAGTGTATTGCCTGCTTGTGTGTAAGTTCACCCGTATCCTCAGAGGTCAGAAGAGGTTATCAGATCCCCTGGAACTGGAGATAAGGACGGTTGTTTGCTGCCATGTGGATGCTGGGAACTGAAACCAGGTCCTCTGCAAGAGCAACCAGTACTCTTAACCACAGAGCCATCTTTTCAGCCCCTCATTTTTTTTTAAGTTCATAAAATAGTTAAGACTCATGCAGAAAGTACAAAGAAGCAGAAGGGAGAAAAATCATATCTAGTACAACCTAAAATTGGTATAATTGTTGTACATCCTTTTTAAGTTGAAATTATATGGCGGTCATTTTCCCGCCTCAAGTTTCTTGAATCCCTCTTTTTCATTGGCAGGTTCATCTTGCTTGGTCAAAGGGTGATTTAGGTAGCTGTGTCTTATTGAATGTTTGCTGTGTACCCAAGTTGACACGTTATCCTATGTTGCATCTTTTTTTTTTTTTGTCTTATTTAGACAGGGTCTCCCTGTAGCCTCAGCTGGCCTGAAACTTACTATGTAGACCAGGCTGGCCTCAATCTACAGAGATCTGCCTGCCTCTGCCTCCCTCATGCTGGGATTAAGGCATGCACCACCATACTTGGCGCATCCCTTAATTTTACCTAGCACAGATAAATCCCAATTCTGAGTCAAAAAGCATGAGCAATTTTTTTGGCCAGCTGACGGTTTGCAGTGATCCTTCTACCTCTGTCCCTTGAGTGCTGGGATTACAGGCCTGTGCCACTGTGCCCTGAGGACTTGAACATTTTTAGGCTATGTCCATCTTGTTCTAAAGTGTTTGTAACAGGGCTAGAGAGATGGCTCAGGCTTGCCTGTAGTACACTTACATACATGCAGAGCAAAATGCTTGTACATACAAAAATAATAAAATCTTTTTTAAAGTTTGAAAGATTGTTAACAGTTTATATTCCACAAGCAGTTTGTGATTTGTTTCACTGTTCTACCTTTTAACATGTAACACTGGAAAGCACCTTGTTTGAATCATTTAATGTTTCCTTTCTTTGACTATTAAAACCTTTGCATTTCTTTTCTGGCTATTCTTATGTATCTTTTCCAATGGTAATGATTGTCAGCTCGTGTTTCTAATTTTTTTCCCTTAGGATGGTGGTAGCGTTTTAAGAGCTCTTCCAATACAATTATTTTTTTTTTCAAATTTTGTTGTAATACTTTATCTTTGTTTTCTGTTTTAATTTGCCTTTAAAAATATTGGTGTCTTATTAAAAAATTCTCAAAAAAAGTATATTCACGTACGTGTGTGTGTGTGTGTATGCATGTGTGTGTTTGGCGTCGTGTGTGCATGTGCCTATGCATGTGTCTGCATCCTTGTGTAGGCCAGAGTACAAATTCGGGTGTCTTTTATCTTGACATAAAGCCTCACTGGGATCAGAGCTCAGTGATTAGGCTATGCTGGCTGGTCATTGAAGCCCAGGTATCCTCCAGCTACCACCTCCCCAGTTCTGCCATTACAGGCACTGACCACCATGCCTAGCTTTTTATGTGTGTGCCTGTGCCGAGGATTGAACTCAGGTCCTTACCCTTGCTCAGCAAGTACTTTACCAACTGAGCTATCTCCCAGCTCTCACTTTTGAAGTTGTAGGCTTTATTTTTTACAATCAACTCATTAACTCATTAATTATACTGTATTAAACTGCCTGGGCTTAATTATAGGTCATTAATCTGTAATATTGAACAATCTACGTTCCTGGGCATGTCACAGTCTAGATTTGATGGTGCTTTACTTCACAGCGCAGTTGCAGTTAGTATTGATCAGTTATTACCTTTTATCTATAGGCCTTTCTTGCTAGCCGCGTTCACTTCAGAGCTACAGCATGGCTGGCTATTCAATCACTGTTAGTCCAACTGGTGAAAGACGGGGCAGCTTTTTACTTTCTCAGATGTTGCTTATTTTTATTTTGTTAGTTCAAAGACTGACATAGATGAGTTATACTTTTTAATTTTTTCTTTTGGTCTTTTTGAGACAGGGTCTCCCTGTAGCCCCAGCTGTCCTGGAACTCACTATGTAGACCAGGCTGGCCTTCAACTCACAAAGATCCACCTGCCTCTGCCTCCCGAGTGCTGAGATTAAAGGCATGCACCACCATGCCAGGCTACTTTTTAAATTTTACTAAATTTATTTAGTGGCCTGATCCACATTCTGTTTGAGTGTTTGAGAACAATTTGTATTTTTGATCAAATACAAAGTCATTTAGATATGGTTTACATTATTGTTATTTTGCCTTTTGTGTTTTTTGTCGTTTTTTTGAGTCACTGCCTCTGTATATTACCTAGAGTGGCCTCAAAATCATGAGGATCCTCCTGCCTCAACCTCCCTAGTGCTGAGATTACAAGCATATTATACCACACCTACCATAGTATGTATTAAATGAAGCTTGTTAAATCATTTGTGGCTTCATTTGGGTTTTAGTTAACCAGTTTCCAAGGTGTATTTTGAAGAGTGACAAATCTTTTCTGAGTCTCCCACCCCTTTTGTAATGACTGTCCTTCTTTGATATTATTTGTTGATTATTGTTATTATTAATTAATTAATTTTTGTTTGGTTGGTTGGTTTCTTTGAGACAGGGTCTCCCTAAAGCCCCAGCTGGCCTAGAACTTGCTATGTTGACCAGCATTCTGTGTGCCTTTGCCTCCTGAGTGCTGGGATTAAAGATGTGTGCCACCATGCCCAAATTGATTTATTTATTATTTTATTTTATGTGTATGAGTGTTTTGCCTGCATGTATATAAGTACACCATGTGCATACAGTGCTACAGGAGACTGGAAGACGGAACTGGTGTTATGGATAGTTGTTAGCCACCATATGGGTGCTGGGAACCAAACCTAGGTCCTCTGCAACAGTGGCCAGTGATTTTAACTGGTGAGCTCCAACTCGGATACTATTTTTTTTAAATTTATTTGTTTATCTGTGTATGAATGTGTCTGCTTGAGTGTGTGTGCATGTGTATTCATGGGGGTGGGGGTGCCTATATGTGTGCGGAGGCCAGAAGAGGCTATTGAATCCCTCAGAGCTGGAATTGGCAGGTGTTAGTGGGATGTCTGCCTGACTTGTTGCATAGGTTCTGGATCTGAACTCCAGGTCTCATGCTTCTACAACAAGTACTCTTTACCACTGAGTCATCGCTCTGTTGTGCCCCCCCCCCCTTTTCCTCTCTTGAGACAGGGTCTTATGTAGCCTAAACTGACCTTGAACTCTATAGCCAAAGATGACCTTGAACTTCTCAGGTTCAATAAATTCAATAAATTGAATTCCCCAATTTATTTGGTGCTGGGGATCCAACCCAAGACGTCATGCATGTAGGCACACACTCTGCCAACTGAGCTGCATCACCAAACTTCCTGCTACTTCTGATTTGTATCTTAGGAACATGATGTATTTGGGGGTTGATGTGGGTATATGGGTCTCTCCCTCCCCTCGTGGGCCATTGGCCACCGACCCACCAGAACAAAGGGAGCAGAAGCGACAAATGGGGTCAGGATGGCCAGTGAGCACGGATGGAAAAAACTTTTCAGGGAGTCAGATTCAGTGATACAGCTCCGTTTATTCAGTGGGGGTCAGTGAAAAATATAGTGTGGAGGCAGCAGCCAAAGCTTCAGCTGATAGGTGCTCATAGTATGCTTTATTTACATGTTATAGGGGGATCCTATCATCTGGCTATAGGGCAATGCCTAATTATCATAGAAAAAAACCTGGGGGCAGTTTTAAAAGTCATGTTCTAAATAAGGACAGGCATCCGTGCTTGGAGGCACTTTCCAGATCAGTCAGGCAGAGAGCAGGAAGCCCCTGCTAAGAAAGGAGTGGACCTCAACAGCAGGGTTCCCCAACATTGATGCATAAATATGTGTTGTAGAGGCCAGCTGTTGATGTTGGTTGTCTTCCTCAGTTGCTGTCCACTTTCTTTTTTAAGATGGGGTCTCTCACTGAGCCTGAAGCTCTCATGTGTAGCTAGACTGTTTTGCCAGTGAGCCTCAGGGACCCTCTTGTCTTCATTTACCCAGCCCTGGGATTACAAGTATGTACCATTATGCTTGGCTTTTTGTGTGGGTTCTGGGGATCCAACTCAGGACCTCATGTTTACAAGGCAAGTTCTTTACTGACTGAGCTGTCTCCCCAGCATGCAAAATTTAATTCTAGATAGATTTCCCTGGTGCATTGGCTATTAGGAAATGCCAAGCCAGTTTTGTGATTCCTTCTAGCAAGTGCTAGGTGTCATGCGTATTGTGGTTGTCAAGATAGCAATTCGTCTTTAATTGCCATTTCATTTTTCCTCACTCTTATTTTCCTTTCAATGTAAGCAGTTGTATTTACATTTTTTCTTTTCTTTTTTTTAATTTTTATTTTATGTGTATGAGTGCAGTGCCTTCCCGTGTGAGTGCACCCATGTTGTACAATGTCTCCTGAGGTCAGAAGAAGGTGTCAAATCCCCTGGAACTGAAGTTACAGATGGTTATTAGCTGCCATTTGGGTGCTAGGCATCAAACCCGGGTCCTCTGCAAGAGCAGTCAGTGCTCGTAACTGCTGAGCCATCTCTCCAGCCCCCATTTTTTTTTCTAACTACCTTTTATTCTGTGTGTATGTGTGTGGGTGTGCACACATCATGGCATGAATGTGGGGGTCAGAGGACAGCTTAGCAGGAGTCAGTTCTCTCCTTCTACCATGTGAGTCCTGAGGATTGAACTTGGCTGCAGATGCCTTTGTCTGCTAAGCCATCTCACTGACCCAGCAGTTATATTTTGTATTTAATCTTTAATGCAAGATACCCTGAATCCTTATATCAATTAAGCTGGTTCTGAATATACAAGTGTAAACTACTACTCCTAAAATTGACTGGTGGAGGATATGATAGTCTTTTTTTTTGCTTTACTGTGTAGGTGTAGATTGTCTTAGCTGATGCTGAGCATCTCTATTTTCAGTGTTGATGTCTTTTTAAGTATCAAACCGATTCTATGTGTATTTATAATATGATCTGTTCTATAATAGTAC